AAATCGCTCAGAGGATTCGATTGGATCTACATCACAGACAAAGGGCAGGACAAAAAGGGTAAGTATGTTCTGTTGATACCCAAACGTAAACTACGAAAACCCATTGAAGGCACAATGGCATCCAGAACACGAATAAAGTCAAGACAGAGCTATCAAATAACTTTCGCGTGAAAATCGCAGTGGAATCGAGACGCCTTCGCAGGACCACTGCATAAAATAAAGTTTTTTTTACCTTGTGGATCGATGGGGACCGCAGATAAATAACTGGGCGGCTAAACATCGCCCTAATTTTACTATTATCGCCCTAACTCAAAACATAGAATTACTAAATTGTCCTTCATCCCCCAACTTCCCCGACCTCTTGCTTACACAATGCTACTGCTATTCTCTCAAACACCATTCCGAATTCCGCCATTGGAATCACGAGGTCCAACAAGAGTTACCAGACACACTCCGTTGCCGCGATAGAGTTTTCCCCTGTTTGTCGCTCACTTGGCTAGTTTGGCTTCTTTCCATTTATTAATCAGCAGAACGCTATAAGTAGGTCTTGATTTCCCCCTACTTCTTTCTTCGCAAGATGTAGCAACAGTGGTACTAAAAAACTCCAACTATTCTGAAATTATTGTGTTATGAAATTTGGGTCGGAGATGTGTTTTGATATTCAGCGTAGTGTGTTCTCCAATGATCAATTTCATGATGGGTTTGGTTGTTTTCTGCTTTGGATTATAGTAGGGACGCTGCGAGATTAACATAGAGAAAAATGAGAGGCGATGGGTGGAGACTCCACTGAAGAACAAGTTCTTCTGTTCGGATCTCATTCGATTGACATGGTGGCGACCGACAGGGTAAGGGTCGGCGGTGGTGGAAAATTGGAAATCTAAACCAACGTTAGTATAAAACTGTTCGGCTGGATTTTATTTGTTAGAATAAAATATTTTTAACAATAAAAAATGAGAAGGATAAAAAGGTAATAATAATTAATAAGTAAGGGCGATTTATTAAAATTAGGGCGATAATTAGCAACTCCCATAAATAAACCTGCAGGCACATCAGAAGAGAAGGGAAGGGAAAAACGTTTTTATTAAAACCTAAAAGAAAAGGCCATTTTCCCATTAGTCTTTCTGTAACTCTATGGACTAAGTTGGGCCAAATATGGGCTCAAGCCCAACGTCACTAACAGATCCCTTTAATCTTACAGGGCCCAATTAATCAATAGAAACATAATCCATTCGGCTAGCCTTTTTTTCTATATTCCTCCTCCCTCTCGTTTTGATGCTTTATAAATCATGCACATAACATAACTTAATAATACAAAACACGTACAGAGCATGATGATATAATTAATAAGCAAGTAACCTAAGATTGTTGGTCCGGATAACGGTGGCGGGCTGGCCATCAGAGGTACGGCCGCTGAAGAGCTGGTTGGGGTTGGAAGTAAGTGGGAGCTTCCGGTTCCTGAAGCTAGTGATCAAGGTCGTCCTATGATATTCGGAGGCCCTGTTCGACAATTTAATATGTCGCCCCAAAACTTTTTATGGCAAATTTATTAAAAATAAATATTATTAAATAATAATAAAAATTATTAAATAATAATAAAATTATAAAACTTCAGAAAATGATTAAAAATAATAATATTATATATTTTCAAATATTCAAATATTATCTACGCTTAGAACTAACTTTTTCAAATTTTTGGGTTGACATAATTAAAAATTCTAACCATAGACCGATGATTCCGAATTTCCAATTAATATAAGTTCCTTGCAAAAGTAAAAGAAAAAATGTTAGAACTTAAAAGAAGTTGATTATGAGCTTGAATAGTAGGGATGAATATTGATTAGGAGTTAATTAGAATTGGGTAATGTACAATTTATATGTAGGCGTTGGATGTTTTTGGGAAGTTGAGAATTTTGGGAAAAGAGAAGAACTGGGATTAAATACATAAGTGGTAGTATAGATTTAACAAACAACTCGTAGCCCAGTGGTTGCATTTCCTTTTAATGAAAAGGATAGGTCCAGGGTTCGATTTCCCTCCCTGCGAGCTCAATAAAATTGAGGTACAGCACAAGGCTTGGGCCGGGCTTGCGAGCGACAAAGACCCGTAGCAAGGAGATTACGGGGCTCCCCTCCGGCTTGGCCTTGACTTAGAGCGGCGTGCCGGTAAAAGGACACAGGAGACAATCATGAAGGCGGTAGGAATCATGAACCCAACCACCTAGCTGTTGGTGACTTGGCGAACGATGGGGATGACTACAACGACTGCCAAGATAGAGAGGGTGAAGGAGGCGTAATTCCAGGCCATGAACTTCTCCTTCCCCTCTCTTCACGGCCTTCTTCGTCAGGTCGTACTGGTTGATCCCGAACGGCAGGTTGCATGAACGAATGTCGGCAGCCCCCAGCGCGAAGAAGAAGCTGGTGAAGAGAACCGCCACTTGCCATGCTTTTGGGGCTTCCTCCATGGGTTCTTGACGTGGGTGCATCCCTGGGAGCGTCGTTGCGGTCAGCAGCACAACCCCCTATATATATGCATTCATTCAAAATCGAGAATTTAAGCTAGTCTAAGGGTTTCGAAACCAACCATGTCCTTTTTCATAATTTAAATATATAAATATTTAATAAATATAATTTAAATTAATAATACCCTAATAATTCATTCGTAGATAAAGAAATACTTTTTCGCATAAACAACCACAACGATCATTAATATAGCTTAATCTAAAAATGCTCTTTCTACATAAACTAACTGATAAAACTTATGCACTTTTGTCTCCACCATCATCTGAGACAATTTCTCAATTCATTTCAATCCAACAGATCTCTCATAAGTCATAACATAACGATAATGCCAAACAAGATGTTGTCTAATAATAATATCATGAATGAAACCAATAAATTAATTTTTTTTTTTGTAATTAATGAATAAGTAATGAGTTATGATGTAGTGTCAAAACATCCTTATATTACTTTTTATTCTCGTCAAACATATGTGGTTATTTTTTCCCTCCCAAGAAATTGCCCCTATCCTAGAACAAGGGCAAAGGGCCTTGCCTCCGCCTATGCCAATATGCTACAAACAACTTTGTTATATATAACATTATTATATATTATATAACTAATACTATATTTTACATAATCATAATAAATACTAATAAAATTCATTTTATATACTTTTACTTTCCGTTTCTTATTGAAATACCCGCTCATCCCCTCTTCATTGCCATCACTATCTCCACCTGCCAACTACCCTTCATAATTAAACTAAAATAATTGAAATAAAATACAGCCATACACTAAACCCACCACTATCTAAATATCATGATGTTTGGAAATGTAATGGCGGTTGTGGTTTGCTATAAGTAGAGGTCTCATTTGAGACTTAGGAAGCAGAGACCTAGAGAGAGAAGAACTAAATTCCTCAACAAACGTTAAGACAATAAACTTGCCTAATTTATGTGTGTAGAAAATGCGGGCTGAGCGCTAGTGAGAATAAAAGACATAATAATAGAATAAGAGTGGATACTCTTAATGTAAAAGACAACAATTATCTAGTTATTAGAGTGTGGTCGAGTGAAATAATTTTCTATTATATTCTCGATTCTAAAATCTCATCCAAGAGAAAGAAGTGGTAATCCAGCCGACCGTCGTCATCTATCTCCTTGGGCAGCCAAGTCTTCCCATCGGTAAGCGATCCGGTGGCCCCACGAACGATGCCAAAAGCATGCATATAAGCATAACCCATGGCGAAAAATGCACCGGTCAAACTGGCGACGTTGATGGGAAGCTCGCTATGGTAGAAGTCTATTTGGGCCGGGTTGTTGAGCCCTTCTGCCAGGCCCATCAACACCCGCTGCGGGACCAGCCAAAATAATCCTCCCACCACGGCATTGTCGCCGTTTCCCCTCCACGATTCCGGCCAACGTCAAAAGGAGCATCCCGATGGAGGGTGGATAGGAAGAGTTGTTGCGACTTATTATTCTTGTTGTCGTCTTCTTCTTCGACACACTCTTGTCCTTCCCCACCGCCAGTCATCATAGTTGATCTCTTCTTGTTGGCGATGAATGGGATGATGAGCTTTTCATGGAGCAGAATCCAGGCGGTGAGGGATAGGGACGAAAATATGGGCATTGAAGCGGCCGAACAAGGAATCGGACAAGAATAGATGGCCCCCACGACGGGGACAAGGTTGGTGATGCCGCCAAAGAGGAAGTTGATGGTGAGGGCTTGGTTATCTGGCAAGTTAAAGACTTGGGTCAAGAACAAGTAGATCGGAGGGAGATGGCTCCAATGGAGCTCATCTTCTCCAATGTCTTGTTCGTGATGATCAACACAACTGCTTTTGTGGTCTTGGACGACATCATATGGATATGTGATTGGTAATTAAGTGTAAATGTTGTGGAAGAAATTAAGTTGAAAATCCCTTGTATAAGGAAGGAAGTCGCTTAGCTTGTTGGGGGAGAGGTAGAAGAAGAGGACTGACTGGGTGCAGGAGTTGGTGTGTTGTGCATACAAGGGGAAGTATATATATGAACGGTTGTTTGGTGGTAATAAACTGGTGCATGTTTGATGATTTGGCCATTCATATACAGGTAAGCTTCCTTATAGGATCAGATGTTTATGGTGGCTTCATAGCGATCGATCTTCCCTACTATCAGATATCTCCTTCTTTCTCTATCTCGTCATGTCCATCCAGAAGCTAGCAAATGAATGGTGTTCTTTGTGTCTTCGTTTCGCCTTTGCCCATCTACAACCTAGGGCATGCATGGTAGAAGGGTTTGGTTTTTCGTCATATTTGGACGCTCACCATGGTCTTCTTTGTGTGCATGCATGGACCATAAGGATTTGAACTCTAGGTAAGCTCTTCTTTTGTGTGCTATCTTTGCCTTTGCCCATCTGCAGTCTTGGGAAACAGCTGGTTTTATACCCACCTGATGGAATGACTTAGCAAAACGAGATTGGTAACCTCAGATCTAAAAGCTAACACATGACAGAACGAGCTCAAGGATCTCTCTGACTAATAACTAAGCCATCCCACTATGTAGTCAACCCCAAATTCTGTTCATTTGGTTTAATAAACACGAAAGATTGCAACTTAAACAAGGTCGCAGAAGAGGAAACTACTCTCTTACGTGCATCATAATAAGTTAGTCAATACATTTTCCTAGTGAACCCAAAAAGGAAAGGCAGCATTTCCCATCCATCCTTCTGTACAATTATCTCAAGTCATACTGAATTATACCATAACAAACAGACGACCGAGACATGCTCGACGGCAACCAACAGGCCCTGCGTTACTCCTTTATTAACAACAAGAAAGCTAAAAACAAGAAAAGCTCAATAGCGTCGTCCACCTGCCGTCGACAGAAGAACCCGGTTCGCCTTCTTCCCTTTCTTACTTGCACCCTCGTTGCTCTTGGGGGCCTCTCCAGTCCTTTCCCTCGATATTACATTGGCAAAAGATGGCGTCCCCTGGTTTCTTGTGCCTAATAACACAACACAGGATTCCGATATTCAATCACTAGTCCCCCTCAGTTGTTGTGAGTTGTGACCCCATATAAGGTCACACAATTTTAAGGTGCCACTAAGAAATCAGTTGTCGAACTTTGATATATAACAAACTTGTGTCACTTGAGTTTGGTATAAATAATATAATAATAACACCACCAAGTTGTCATCAAAGAAGTTGATAAAGAAACGACGTGAGCTATTTAGCTTCCAGAGTAGACGTACCAGTTCCTGTGCCAGAACCTCCCTCATGAGCCGGATCTTTCATGTGATTATTAGCCTGGGCTGCCCTAGCTTCCTCGATTCTCAAGCCTGGAGAACCGTAACCAGCAGCATAACCGAGCCGCGTAACATTGGAGAAGAGAAGCTTATCTCCAGCCATGGGAGGGCTTGATGACATCGAACTGGAATTCCCCAAGGCTAAACTCAAAGACACAGAACCAACCATCAAGCCAAGAAAGATGAACGGTTATAAAAACCAAGCAAAAATGGTCATAAGAAACACAGGAATCAAGATCAATATTCAGTTACTGTCACTACCTTCAAAATCATCCATGGAGAATGTAGGGGAAACGTCATAAGATGATGACTCGAACCTAGGTACAAAAGGTATATCATATGCACCAATAGCAGCTTCAGCCTTTATCTTTTCCTTCCGTTCCTAGCAGATGAAAAATAGTAAAGATACTATTCCGATTAGGGACACCAAAAGCCAAACCTGCTACTAAATGAAAAGAGGATCGCTAATTAATGATCTTTGAGTCCTTTAAGTGTTCAGCATGGGGCTAACTGGCTCAATTGAACAAAAACAGAGAGTCATTGCATTATGGTATATCTCAAATTAGCATCATACTCTGTCAGCTTGTTGCTTCCGTTGCTGCTCCCTCTTCTTTATTTCGTCCATAAAAGGAAGTAGGGCATCAGGCGGTAGTATCTCACTCATATCAATTTCACACAACTGGAAGAAGGGGAAAAAGAGATTAGAAGTAAGAAATTTATGTGCTGGGAATCAGAAATTCCATAGCTAAAAAGTACCTGGACAGTTGTCGTCAAAGAAAAATGACTCAAGTAACGATAACGTCTTCTCATAGCCTCTGTTTGGGTCATAGGTTCCAACTGCAGGATTTTCCCATTTATTCTGCAGAGCATGTAGACTCTAATCAATTGTCTATTGCTTGTAAAGGTCAGAGCACTGTCGTCCCTCCATCAATTCAGAATCGTAAGACAAACATACAAGGAAAAACTGAAACAAAGATTATTCATAACTCAATACTACTTTCCAAATTGTCGGAAACCTCAAATTATATAACTGAATCATTTGATCGGGGAATTATGTTCATGCACCATCATTTCACATAAAATAGAAACCCATCACTAGGTTGTATTGCATAGCTTCAAAGCATCTACAAAGCTGCTCAGGGAATCCATGGGTGAATTGATTCTCTCAAGTAAATGTGTTGCTAAACTAACAGTTACGTGCTAAATAATGACCATCGAGTGCCATAGAAAACAAACATTCAGAGTTAGCAGAACTACTAAATTTATGTTTCCACAAACCTGTCAGGAAGCATCTCATAGCTCCCATAATGACGAAGAAGACACTTCATGTTGAAAGGATGGAGTATGAAGTGTTGACCATCAACTGCCTGAAACAGACATACACGGATATTATGTAAGCTAAATCACCAACTACTGCTGCCAAGTCAGAGGAGCTAAGACCCGTTAAGAACATAAAACCTAAAAAGATAATAATGACCATAAGAACTTCAAAATAGAAGGGTAGTTACTGGAGGCCAGCAAGAAACCATCTGTGAAATTCTTAGGTTTCAACCCCAAACGGAAATGTAAAATAAATAAATTGCTGCATACAAGAAGCAAAGGTCTGATTTTCCACTACAAGGCAATATCAATCTAACACCAATAGAGTATAATACATTGAACATCATAAGACCTGCTTGTGAGGGGAAAACCTGGTAAAAGTTGTAGGAGCCTTTATCCCTATCTCTAGAGCCATTTGGTGGCTCCCGTAGGCTCTTTTTATCACCATATGAAGATGATAAAACGACATCTTGTTCTTCATGTGACTCGGTGGAATCCAGCTTGATGCTATCCAACAAATTAGCCTGATCAATGACATCAACAGGAGTTGATGAATACCTGGTACTAGAGACTACATGATGAGCACTAGTGCCAATCAAAGATCCTTTCTGATTACAAGCCTGCTTATGCGTGGTATTGATATCACATGCCCGCAACTCAATCCAATAATTCTTCCTCTGCTCTAATTGCTCCATTGCAGCACAAACATAGGGAAGCTTCTCCAAGTCATCCACAAGTCCCGAATCAGCTCTAGCTAACCAATCATCCAACTCTGAAATTGGTTTTCTCACGGAAAGTTCTACATCCGACGTAAATATAAATTTTGAGAATGGATCACTGGCATCATCATTGCATCTCAATGTTGAATCTGATTCCTGCTTATTCCTCTTTGAAGGAGTGAAGGAATCCTTCTGCCTAATAAGTAGCATGAACTCGATAGTCTCGCCAACACTGTACTGCTTAACATTCTCAACAGTCAAAGTGTACAAATCCTTTGGAGATACCATCAGAAAACATAAAGGACACCGTTTGTAGCAATCTCCCTTGAAAACCTCTTCACCCATAAGCAAATATCGAACAATGCAAGGGAAGCAAAAGATATGGCCACAGGAAGTTATTTGGGGGCACAAGGGTTGCTCCAAACATACCGGACACTGCAGTGGTACTGAAGTGGAGTACCTGACACATAAAATATCCTCCCATCTAAGATTTTTATCAGGATCCAAAGCTTCAGGAGAGCTGTCCCCAGTGTCCAGCACAACAAACTTGAAATTAGCCTGAAGGAACAAATCCTTATTGTAAGGCTTGATCTTCTGATGATGCCGTCTTGGAGGAGCCATCCTTGGCTGAGACCGCGTTATAGGATCATAATGGAAGTTGAGGAGATGGTTAGCATTCATCATCTGGGTTCTCCTCCCAGAAGAATGTGAACTTCCACCTTGAGAGTTAGTTGAAAGATTATTCCTTTCACTCTGAAGAGGCACACCATTTCCTGACACTCTCCCTTTAGATTGCCTGGAGCCAACTGCTCGAGAGCCAGAGGTGGAGGAGCCACTCTTCTCTACATTCTGGTGGGACAAAATTGCATTGGCAATTGGTGTCACTGGTTGAGTCACCTACTCACCAAACAAATATTACATAAAAAGTTCAGTAACTGTAACCTGACAATTACAGCAAAACATCCATGCTAACAAGGAGAAGAGTTTAATTTGAGAAGTCACCTCTTGGGAAGATCCACTGACAACCTCTTCTCCACCCAACCCCAACGTCCCTGCAATGCAGAGTTTATCAACTTATTAAGCATCCAAAACTGCTAGCAGTTACAAAGGACCCACACCCCGTAACCATAGCTTAAAGACTTCAGTTAGCAATGGAACAAAAGAAAGTTTACGACTAACCCAAAATGGCAGGACCCCCAATTACCCCAAAAGAAATGATCTTTCACGAAACAGTAATCATCAGAAAATAGGAAAGGAAAAATAGAACAAAAAGGCAGCACAACGACGGCCTTACAAATTCCCAGAACAATAACTCGGAGCTGAAATATCATATTAGCTACACAAATCGCGTAAAATTCTAGGGTTGGGTCCATAATCGACTCTGTAAAGGTAGGATAAGCAACACCCAGAAAATCAATCACCTGAGACAGAGGAGTTTGGAGAGTGAGGCATGGATCGAAATTGGCGGGAGGGAGGAGGATGAGAGGCGGGAGATAGTTGAGCGGGAGAAAGGATGGCGCCATAATCAGGATCGGAGGTTAGAGCAGGAGATTCGAACGAAGAAGACGAAGCGGAACCTTGAGTCTGTATGGGCAAGATGGACATGAAAATGCGGGGGAGACGAGTAAGGAGGAAGTAGACGGCGGCGGAGGAGAAGCTCGGAGAAGAATGAGACGGTGAATCACCGGCTGGAATTAGTTTTGGAGACCGACACGCCGTTCGTCCTCCGATCTTTAATAAAAATCCCGCGCCGGAAGCTCGGGCATCTGCGCATCTTTTCCCGAATATTGGCGACGTGTCCCCCTCGGTTACGAATTTACCCATATACCCTCGTCACTCCACTTATTTACCATGAAAGCCCACTATCGAATATCTTGGATCAAGTTGCAGAAATGGTCAACAAACTTTAAGTTCAATAGCGAACTAGTCACTAAACTTTGAACTCTTTAACATATTTGCAACTGAAATTTAGAATAAGGAACACCGAACACACCATAAATGTTACCTGTTGAATTGAACAGACATCTAGGACGTTAATATCATTAGTACTAATGCTGATATATAGATGAAAATGTTGATGTATAGATGAAAGTTTTTTTTTTGTTCAAACATGCTAATGTGGTATGTTAAACACATATACAATAGATTACACTATTATCACCACTATCTTTTAATTAACATGCATACTATGTAACATATAATAGCACATAACATTAATGGCGTCCACCAGTCATTCAAGTTTTCACTTGCTTAATAACATATAGACGTACTTTTATTGATCAACTACCCCTCTATATGAGATATATTGATTGATTAATCTATTTTGTTTATTTATTGATTGATTAATCAAACTAATGTCGTGATTACAATATATAGGCGATTAAATCTAATACTAGCTAACCTATAACCCTACTAATTAACCTAGACCACTCGGCCACCTTATAACCCAAGCCCATACACTAAGTAACTACTAATAACCCACATAACCCCCTGCTAACCCACTTAGCATGCACGACCTCCCCAAACTAGGCCATTATGCTTTGTATCTAGAGCAAAGAAAGTATACATTAATAGTAATGGAACTCTGTGCAAAGTTTTCTCCGGTAATATGAGTTACCACCCCTGATCATTGACACTACCCCAAACATCTGACTGCATTTTCCAACCAAAAAATTAATTGTACATCCAAAATAACCCTAGAAAGACATATGATTTCAAGCGGATACTACGCAAACACTAATCTATAAGCTAACATAACAATCGTAAATTCGTAATACTAATCCCAAAAGCCCAACACCCTACCTCATCAATTAATGTTCCTTCTTCTTCTTTGTACCTATACCAGTACTTGGCCAGCACCACGTAGAATCCAAGATTCACCACCCCAAATCCTGCCAACATGAAGTACACAACACCGATCGAGCCTACCATTATCCACATCTTGTCGTGCCCCCCATTAATTTTGTTGCCCTGGCGATGGCGCCATTTCCATGTGCTTGATGATCTAGTGGAATGAGGCGCCGACAAAACTTCCAAAAGCGTATCCCATGGCCAACAGCCCTCCCGTTAAGCTCCTCATTCGGTCCGGAAGCTCGCTGCAGTAGAAGTCAATTTGGGCCAGATTGTTGAAGGCCTCCGCTAAGCCCATCAACACCATCTGCGGCACCAGACTCAACCGCTCCTTCCCGCCTCTTCCCTTCCACGATCCCTGCCACCACCACGGCCAGGATCGACATGAACATACCGACGCCCATCCTCTGAAGAGTCGTTAAAACAACATGCACCTTGACCATTGTTTTTCTTTCGGATGGTCCATTTGTCGTAGACTATAACCCACAGCGCGAGGGGCAAGGTGTGGAAGATCCCCATGGATGCCTTTGGGGATCGGAGACGACGTCCATGCATGCATGCATATGGTTGTGTCCATCATGTTCGATTGGATCACTCGGTAGTTCCCAAGCAACGCAACGCAACGCAGCTATCATTTGGTAGATGATGCATGTTACGTTCGACGCCCCATACCACCATTACTCTCACCACACTTTTCGCCTCTTCAATCTGTTCCATTGAACACGCTTTCCCAGCTTCTCCATCAACTCTCGCGCCTGCCTTCTCCAAGAACTTGGCATGACATATATAATGCAGCTTTGGGACCAATTGGTTTATGAAATGAGCTTATAAATCGAGAGATGATATGCATGCATGTATGTATATGTTTACCTTAGACTATATATACACAGTTGCATGCGGATATATATGGTACTATATATATATTGATCGTGTGGACTGGCCCGTACGTAGGCGGCCTGTTCCGGTGAAAGGATTATCTGCCGAGCCGAGAGAAAAAAGAAGAAGCATGGCCACCACGGCGCTGCAAATGCGTTATTACATGTACTTCCAGTTCAGACAATTTGACGCACGTAAGAGTAACAAATCAATAGCATCCAGTCATCCACTATATCCGGTTGTGGCATGAACGTACTCTATACTCCGCCAGTGGTTGGGAAGCAATAACCGTTTAGGGAAATGAGTGACCACAGTCCACAAGTCCATTAAGTCTCAATTCAATTTCTCCCCTTCAATCGGCGAATCGCAGCCCAATTTTCTCCTCTTCAATCATAGATGTAGTTCCCACCTTCTTCCAAGACTGATTTACGTACGTATGTTCAGTGACCGCGCAATTCCAGGAAATTAAGTCTTGATAGTTGTAGACTGGAGGTATAAAAAGACATTAACAAAGTATTGTAACTTTTACATGTCATTTACATAAATTAAAAGTTGAAGGATTGCCACCAACAGCATAGGCGAAGCCAACCCTAAATATGTGTCATGGGAATACACCTAATTTTTTATACAAATATAATTATTTCCCAAAAATTAATGTTCATATCTATAGGAGATGGAACTCAAATCAATGCCCCTAAATTTAGCAAATGGATAGTTTCATAATAAGATTACGCAAAAGAAGTAATTATAGCTATGGGAAAAAAAATTGTTTTATAATTTATCTGGATACTATTGTTAATTAATTATCGCATAAAGAGAATCGGTTTGTAACATTGAAAAATAAAGATAGGCGGTTGCTTAATCCAATTTCCTAAGTGCACAATGTGCAAGTGAGCAGGTGGATCGATTTTTTGTAGTTTCGAATAATTTTTCCGACGATTTCCAACGGTTAGACAGAAAACGATGGCCGGAGCCAGGCTCAACCGAAAACTTTTTCAGCTGAGCCTGGTTTCGGCCGCCGGATTCTTTCGGCCCGGCCAGGTTCTGGTCGCCGTAATTTTTCGGCCCGCAATCTGCCTTTGGAATTTTTCAGAAAATTTGGATTTTAGGAGTTGAATTTAGCGTGTGAGAATTGAATTTAGAGTTTAAGAGTTGAATTTAGAGTTTAGGACTTGAAATTAGCGTTTAAGACTTGAAATTAGCGTTTAGGTTCACAGGAATATTGATGTGATATATTGTAATTGTAGGAAAAATCTCAAAGTGGTTTCCGGCCGATCACGATTACACACTGGAGTTTGAGAATGGGATCCATTATGCAAGTGTGGAGTTAGCTGAGAATACTGCAAAAGCAATCGCTCATGAGTGTGGATTTTTTTATTATTAGAGGAGCATAGAAACCGAATACTGAAGCACAACATCCTATTTCTGCCATCTGTATGTTTTGCGACAGAAACAGTAGGATCGTTAAGTCTTATAAACCAGACCCTATGAAGGAGAGGCATGGGAATACTAGTTCGAAGAAGGGGCGGAGCCAGGATTTAATCATCGGGGGGGGGGGGATTTTCTTAATACGTTACAGCAAAAGAGGAAAAACTAGTAATAAAAATTATTTTAAAAAATTTATTATTAGTATTAAAACTCAAAACTTTTTCACACTACAAATCATAAAAAAAATATATTGACAATAGTCGAATTAGCTACTAACTAGCTTCCAAAAAAGAAAGGAGAAGACTACTGCTTACCAAAAATACTGCTTACCAAAAAGACAAAAAAATAAAATATATGCTCACCTCAAGAATCGAACTCGTGACCATTGGATCCTTCTACATTGCCAATTCCGCTAGGGCAACTCAAATTTTAAGTTATAACATACACGCTTTTTATTTTTATTAAATACTTTCTTGTTTATACGTATTATCCTAAACCATTTACATGTAAGTTCGAGATTCTCGCCGGGGGGGGGGGGGGGGGGGCCCCTTAGGGCCAACGTAGCTCCGCCCCTGGTTCGAAGGGTACTGGTTGCCAGTTTTAGATATTTATTAAGGAAGTATGCCAAGAGCATGGTCCAAACAAATGGGTCATAGTAGGAGTGACAAGTCGTGTAACCGGAGCTATTAATAGAGGGTTTCAGAACCGTGAAAAGTGTTGTATCCAGAACATCACCGGCACAACAAACAGTTTAGTGAGGCTAAAAAAGATAGGTTAAGATTAATGAGGAAGGCGGGGGTGACACCAAATCAACAGAAGACGACACTCAATACTGAAGGGGGTGTGCATCATGATATCAAACAGATGTACAATAGAAATTACAAGGCAAGATTGGATGAGATAGGTGAAATGGATGCGATATAGTTTGCGCTTCACGGAGCTGAACAGCGTGGGTGCCATATCCGTTTGGAAAAGTACGCTAATAATGTGTTCACCAATCTGTTATTTGCCCACCCGACGTCCATTCAGATGTTGCATGCATGGCCGTACGTCATCCTCATCGACTCGGTCTACAAGACAAACAGGTACGGCATGCCATGGGTTGAGATTATTGGGGTTAATCCAGTCACGAATAATTTCAACATTGCATGTGCAATTATTAAGCAGGAAATAAAGGAAACATATGAGTGGCTGCTACGATGTATTAAAGGGTTGCTCGGTGATATGGTTCCGAATGTCATTGTGACAGACAAAGAAGGTGGTTTGCTTGCTTCTGTTCCTGTGGTCTTCCCTGTCCACCTACTATGTTTATGGCACGTCAACAACTGTGTGAAGAAAAAGTTTAAGCAATTACTGGGTGGAATTTCACAATAAAGAGAGGTAGCCGAGGCGACATGGAAGAAATATTTCGACAAAGCTGCATGGAGTTGGACGAGGGACGGTTTTCTTAGAAGGATTAATGAGTTTGAGAGGGTCTGGACAGTGAAGAACAAAGCTATGGTCGACTGCATGCGAGGTGAGTGGTTGCCTCATAAGACAATGTGGGCAAAGTGCTACACGAACCATGTGTTCCATCTTGATAACACGAGCTCGAATAGAGTTGAGGCATCTCACTCTTCATTCAAGACTTTCCTTGTGTCTGGTAGAGGAGAGATTGACATTTGTTTTCG